AGGAGAGGGAGAGGGAGGGAGTCTGGGTGGTTGCCGGCTGGGGTCTTGGTTCGTTTGGAGGTGGGGGTTTTGGAGGATGGCTGCGAGTGGGCATGGTGGAATGAAGGGGAGAAGAAAATCGCAGCGGTTTGGGAGAATTTTTACAGAGAAACAAAGAGAGAGAGAGAGAGAGAGAGAGAGAGAGAGAGAGAGAGAGAGAGAGAGAGAGAGAGAGAGAGAGAGAGAGAGAGAGAGAGAGAGAGAGAGAGAGAGAGAGAGAGAGAGAGAGAGAGAGAGAGAGAGAGAGAGAGAGAGAGAGAGAGAGAGAGAGAGAGAGAGAGAGAGAGAGAGAGAGAGAGAGAGAGAGAGAGAGAGAGAGAGAGAGAGAGAGAGAGAGAGAGAGAGAGAGAGAGAGAGAGAGAGAGAGAGAGAGAGAGAGAGAGAGAGAGAGAGAGAGAGAGAGAGAGAGAGAGAGAGAGAGAGAGAGAGAGAGAGAGAGAGAGAGAGAGAGAGAGAGAGAGAGAGAGAGAGAGAGAGAGAGAGAGAGAGAGAGAGAGAGAGAGAGAGAGAGAGAGAGAGAGAGAGAGAGAGAGAGAGAGAGAGAGAGAGAGAGAGAGAGAGAGAGAGAGAGAGAGAGAGAGAGAGAGAGAGAGAGAGAGAGAGAGAGAGAGAGAGAGAGAGAGAGAGAGAGAGAGAGAGAGAGAAATTTTTTTTGATTTTTAATATTTTATTTATATTTTAATCAATTTAAAATTAAAAAATTAAAAAATGTGGGACCCACAATGCCACGTAGGCAGTTAACAGAGAAATCTAACAGAAACCCTAACAGCGGAACCACATTGCAAAAAATTTACAAACTAAGGGTATGCGATTGTTAAAATTGAAAATACGGGGACTAACATGTCTTAAGGGTGTAAGTACAGGGTACTAAATTGTAATTAACCCTTAATTTTAATCTAAAGTTCTAAACTATGGGGAGGGGGATTCAAACTCAGGTGCAAGGTGGAAAGCACAATCTCTTCTTTTATTTTCCTTAAACTTCAACACGCTACACTTTTCCTTAAACTTTGTAAACCGCATATCCTTCTCGTATCAAATATACTTTTGACTGGGGCTAAAGTATGGGCCTATTCCGGGCTTCCAGGGACAGGATGCTTCCCTAAAAAGGCCTGCACACTCATAACAGTTATCATAGTAGGAGTAAACTGGGCTTTGACCCAGTTGAACCCCCTCCGATGGTGAAGTCAGGTATGGTTCTAAGGTGAAGAGGATGGATGTAGGGTTTTCAATATCATAGTGTTTATTACCTTTGTCCATAGATTGGTGAGGGGTATTTATAAGGGAGAGAGAGTGACCAAGACATTTAATGAAAGAGATCTCATTCTCTATCCCTCTAGATTGAGTTACATTTAATGTTCTGCTTCTAATTAACCTACTTCCTTGACAGGGATCAGGTGGCGAAGTGACAAGCGAACAGGGATGAGAGGTGTATTAAATTATCTTTCTCCATCACCAGCTTGTCCGATCGAAGATCGAAGAGTAAGGCGATATCTGGTTAAGGATGTGATGTGCATCAACCGACATTTCCTTCCTGCCAGGCTGTCTCATTAATGCTCTTCTATATTGGGACATGGAGCCACAGTGGTCGGGTCGGTGACTAGACATCTGATCACTAGTCCAACCCTTACTTCGTCATAATCTTCTTTGAGGAGCTCATTGTTGATACCGAGGATATCACATGTGATCGGGTCGGTACATAAGTGACCTGGTCCCTCAAGGCCACGTGGTGTCCTTTGGTGGGCTCGGCTCACAATGATGGTAGGATCTATTAACAAACTTCAACACAAAAAACATCGTTTATAACATATGATCTTTTGGCAAAATTGAGATAAATGTCTACATATTTTATGCTCTTTTGTTTTTTAATTAATGGGGGAGGGTAGATTTTGAATTTTAGAAGCTCTTTCAATATTAAAAAAAATCCCAAATAGAAATTGGTTATACTAAAATCCTAGTAGTGTTATTTGATATATTGAGATTTGGGCAATATTTAAGAATTTTGAAATGACATACTTTATTTTTTATATAAGCGATATTATACTTTAATCTAATTTAAACTACGGAAGGAGAATTCAAACTTGAGTGCAGAGTGGGGAGCACATATGCTTGAAATGACATACTTTAGTTCCTTGTTTAGTTTGTAAACAAAATCTACACATATGATAACTCATAAATTCCAATGTTATATTTATCTATACATGTTTTCTTTTCAAAATTCTAAAAAAAAAAATTTTTTTAAGGAAAAATAATAATTACAAATTACTATCATCCATCATTAGATTCACTATTCCTACTCGACACCACCACCATCTATATTGCTACCAATTTATCACTAACACTCTAACCACAACTGTCGGCATCGTCACACCCATCACTCATTTATGAACTGATAATTCTGTGAAGATAAACTTTAACTTTCATTATTTAACTTCAAAAAATATTATCAACAATTTAAATAAAGTTCTAAAAGGAAACCATTTACATAAAAAAGAGCTCAAGAGGAAAAAGATACAAATGGGTGAGGTGATCTTGGAGAATGACGATTTTGCCACTGTAAAAATTATCGAGCTACACAGTATTGACATCACGCGGTAAAATCTTAAACAAAGGAGATATTTTGGAGGTTCCAAAATCCGACATGTCAAAATATGATTGGATGCTAGACGTCAACCTACGTGGCTCACTTAAAAAGGATCCAAATCCGTCATCCACTTTATGACCGATGCAACGTATCCAAATGGGGGATATCAACGGAAGTTACTAAAAATACCTCCACCTGCTGACACTTCAATTCCGTCATGACCACCAATCAGAGCACACCACGTTTCAAGAAAGCAATTTAACCCACCCTTTGATCGCTCCGTCGATTTAATTCTCACAAAATCTAATTCCTCATTGGCCGTCACAAACCTCACCTAACAGCCCCGTAAGGGCTCTCAATTTAACCCCCATGCCCATTGCCTTCTTCAGGTAAAACCCTAACTCTGCAATTGAATCAAAATCTCTCTCTCTCTCTCTCTCTCCCTATTTCTCCGATCTGTACGCAAGGGAACCGTTGAAAATCATCTGCATCGCGGCCCACTGGTACTGTTAATTTCCTCTCTTACAAGAACGCTATTTTCGTCAATTTCATAATTGTGTGTAAATTTCACATTTTTATTGAAATTGAGATTGTATTTTAGGAAAACTTTATCAGTTACACCTTGCAATTGATCTCATTTCTAGGGTTTTGTTGCGAAGGTGGCCGAATTCAGTTTGATTTGATCGGAATTTTGGTCGAAGCGGTTTCTTTTTTCGAGTGATATAATAACGATGAAGAACGTTGAGCGTGTTGCCAATGTCGCTTTAGCAGGTTTGCTCTTTTGTGCATAATTTGATATTTTGTTCTCAGTTACTGTTTCTCGGTGCCTTTTTGTTGGCATTGGAAAATGTTGTTTTGTAAATAGAAGAAATATATAAATTTCAGATTGAGTTGTTGATTGGGGAAGTAAAATTACAAAAAGTTTAGAATCTCGATGGGTCTTTCACTGAAGAAAAATGATATTATAGTCTCTTAAGGCTTTAAATTTAAAGAGCAACAGTGGCCTTGGACTATCTTAAAGATAATTCAATGGCTATATATGGCATTGCTTGCTGTTAGTACAGGAAGGTAGGCACACAGGGTTCAGGGAATGACAGAACCACCAATAAATTTGACTTCAGACCAATATGATTTAGGATATCCTTGTTATTTGAGATAAGTAGGCTGTCTTAGGGAAATAACATACACTGTATGTAGTGGTCAGATTTCGTTCTGTATTTTTCTCATTGCTATATGTTTTTGAAATGGAAGGGTGATGTGAAATTTCTCGACGCCCTCTCTGTCACTTCTTGTTTGACAGGCAACTTGGGGAAAGTGGAAGAGTGGCAAATATGTGCCTTGAGGTTTACCTACCTATTTTCCATGCCCGACCCCAGTGTTATAAGGGCAATGGATTCTCATTTATCTAGTAAAATTTGCAATGCATATGCTGTAAAATGTAAATGCCATGGTTGAAGTTCGAAGGATTGGTTACCAGTTAACTAGCATCCGCATGTCAAATAAAGGGACCCCCGATTTCATTTGTTTTTACTGTTAACTAGCCCTTTGATTTCATTTGTTATTACTGTTGAACTAGTCCCTTGATTTTATTTGTTATTACTGTTAACTAGCTATATGCCGTGGCTAGTTTTTACTTCCCAGAGTCAGCGGAGCTTGAACCTCAGTGACATCACTGACATGTGGTTGTTACTTTGGCTGCAGGTTTAACGTTAGCACCACTTGTTGTGAACGTAGATCCAAACCTAAACGTAATCTTAACTGCATGTCTCACAGTTTTTGTGGGTTGCTACCGGTCTGTGAAGCCAACTCCACCTTCAGTAAGTACTGCTGTCATTTTTATTTGGTTTTTGTTGCATTTGTCATTGTCTTCATGAACCTTCCTTGAATTTTCATAAACGGTTCTATTTCAATCATGCAGGAGACGATGTCTAATGAACATGCCATGCGTTTCCCGTTTGTGGGAAGTGCAATGCTGTTATCACTATTTTTACTTTTTAAGTTCTTATCCAAAGACTTGGTTAATGCTGTATTGACGTGCTATTTCTTTGTGCTTGGGATCATCGCTCTCTCGTATGTCCTTTCTTTATAGGTTTATTTTTTACTGCTATATTATTGTCAAACATTTTTTTAATTATATGCTTTTTTAAAATTAAAAACGTTTTAAACCACCCTTATTTTTACAGGGCAACACTGTTACCTGCTATTGCACGTTATTTGCCGCAGAGTTGGAATAAGGACCCTATCATATGGAATTTTCCATATTTCCGGTGTATGTGACTTTCCTTTTGAAGTTTTATTATGATTACTATTCTTATGACATTCTTTACTGCATCACTGGTATTATTCTTTGTCTTTCTCATTTCGTGCTTCAAAATATATATTTTTTGTTTGTGTTTTAAAACTTGATTTGGATATAATTAGTGGATCTTCTAGGAATTATTGGGCAGGTAAAAATTGAGTGCGAAATTTTAGTTATGCATCAATGACTTCTCTTGTTTTAACATGAGTCTGCTGCCGTGTGAAAGCAGTTTGGTTAGTCTTATGTTCTGAGTTTTCATTTGATCTAGTTGACATTGTCTTGCTTGCATCATGCAGAATGATATTTTTCCTTACACCTTTCTTACACAGCTTTGGAGATTGAGTTCACAAGATCTCAGATTGTTGCTGCAATCCCTGGAACCTTTTTCTGTGCATGGTATGCATCAAAGAAGCATTGGCTGGCTAACAACATATTGGGGCTTGCCTTTTGTATCCAGGTCTGTCAGCATCCAATTAATAGACATTTGAGTATGTTTCGCATCGTCTCCAATAATTATATGTTTTTTATCTAATCGATTTCTTTTGTGGTAATTTTCTTTTCAGGGAATTGAAATGCTTTCTCTTGGGTCTTTTAAGACTGGTGCTATCCTTTTGGTAAGAAGTGGGACTCCTGGATTCTTGTGTATTTTTCTGATAGTATTTTACTCTGCATCTGATTGTCTTTCACACCACTTGTGCTGCAGCAGCTTCATTTCTGTCTTTGTCATCACTGCTTTAACCATTTCTCTAGTATTTTTGGGCCTATATATTTCTAATATTTGGCCCTATATATTTCTGATATTTGGTCCTTGTGCATTGCAGGCTGGACTTTTTGTGTATGATATTTTCTGGGTTTTCTTCACTCCAGTTATGGTCAGCGTTGCAAAATCTTTTGATGCTCCTATAAAGGTTTGTACTCCAGATTGATCAAGATCTTTTTACCAATGTATATTGCGTCTTCGACTGTTTTTAGACTACTGATATGCTTACCTGGAACCATGATTTAATTTGTCTGCAGCTGTTGTTCCCCACAGCAGATGCTACACGTCCATTTTCTATGCTTGGACTTGGTGATATTGTAATCCCTGGTGAGGTTTAAAATTTCATATGTTTTCTTATCTAGTATCTACTGCATGCTGGTTTAATAAGGTTAGCTGTGGTTTGTTATTGGTCATTTTGTTATTAATTCGTTCTATTAGAGTTTGAGTGTTAGGTGATGTAGAACTAAAATATATTTGTCATTTCCATTACATATATTTTTGTTTCCTTATTCTACCCACTAACTGTGTTGGTCCTGCGAAAGCAGGGTTCCTGTAAGTTGTGGGCGGTAAAGAGTTCTGGATTAGGTCTTGTCCTTTTCCATTTGACATATTACGCAATCATTATGGATTTTGGGAGGACATTTGTTATGAAACCTTTAGGAACCCTGATTTTGTTTTCCCTAATTAGGCATCCTGCTAGTGGCACTTTTCTTTTCTTTATCTTTTTCCTTTGCGCTTCAGTCCTATAATGGGAGTATACTGTTCTGGTGTTAAGGAGAACATGGATCAATCATTTAAAAAGGTTTTGCTAATAGTGGGCATGTCTAACCAGAACAAACACAAGAACTGGTAATCATTTGACTAATGGTTTTAGGCTTTTAGCATACAAATGCTTCACTATCTAACAGCCAATTGGTTCGCTTGAACTTTTAAAATGTCTATTATACATTGCTAACCACATGTGTAGGCTAATACATTAATGAAAAATGAGTCAGTAAAATCACTTCATTTGGTTGTTGGTTCTCACTTTTGGTGTTATATATTCCTTCAGGTATCTTTGTTGCTCTGGCTTTGCGGTTTGATGTATCTAGGGGGAAACAGGGCCAGTACTTTAAGAGTGCATTTTTGGGATACACGGTTGGTTTGGTCCTGACAATTGTTGTAATGAACTGGTTTCAGGCTGCACAGGTGAATGACATAATTATGCGTGATGTATTTCACCCTAGTACATGCAGGGATCCCCTCACTTTTTAAATAGCTGGCTTGATGTTGATGGACATTCCCATTATATATTTATTTACCTTGCATTAAGTTATGGTCAGCGCATCTCAACTAATTTATTACCTATCCTCCCTGCTGTTCATTGTTTACAGCCTGCACTGTTGTATATTGTACCCACTGTTATTGGGTGTCTGGCTGCTCACTGCATATGGAATGGTGATGTCAAACCGGTAAGTTCACAACCAATGCATTCTTGTTTCTGAGATTTTACTTTTGGCATGACATTCCAATAATCTAGTAATTATCAGTCATAAAAATAATGGAAATACTTTATTCAACACATAAGGGTGGTTGGGTTCTTGTATGGGTTCCTAGGTTATGACTCATGAGCCATTATTTGCCTTGAGTTATGAGCCATGCTTGTTAGATATTGATGTTATTTGATACGTTCTTAAATTCATGTTAAAAGGAATTTTAAGTTTTGGGATGAAGGAAAAAGAATGAGAATAAAGACTAAGCTCAAATAGAGAGAAAAAATAGTCATGCTTGTTATTTACTTTGCTGAGTGAGGTAATGATCTCTGTCATATGGTGCAGCTATTGGAATTTGACGAGTCAAAGACACTGGCAACATCCGAAGAAGATAGTGAGACTAAATCTAACAAGAAGGTGGAGTAAGTTGATATTAGGAGAAGCCGCCAGACACCAGAGCTTTCCAACTCAAAAAAGAAACACCGTTTTTCTCTTGGAGGCACCAAACACCGTTGTACCAGATTTTTTTGAATCAAGGAAGAAATAATCTTTTCCGTTCCTTATAAGATACAACAATACAACCATGTTAGGTTAATACAGAAATTTTTGCTATTTTTTTTTCTATCTAATTTTCATAGAAATTCTCAGTCATTTATCTTGCTGATAGATTTATCCTGTCTCCCAACTGTACGAAAAATACTTCCCTGCCCCGGTTTAACTATGGTCCTTCCTATATCACCCCTCATGTAACCTATCACGTGAAGAAAGAGATCGGGATGGTGAAACCAGGACAGGGAAGTTTCTCCCAGTGTACATCCAAGTATGAATTATTGGAGAGTGATGAGGTCCATGCAAGAAGCTCTGGCCTTAGCAAAAAATCCACATGGTAAAGCGCGCCCAGATTTTAGTATACTGGTTATAACCGAATAATGCTAGTTTTGTACACATAGCAGGCCGCTTTTCTAGATGGAGTTTCTCTCATCTGTGTCTCGCCCTGTGGGAGAAGTGGCCAGCAAGGTAGTCCAATTTGCATCACTTGTAGTACTTGAGTCTCACGTGCATCAAGGATGTTTGCCATTTAATTACTGTGTGGCCGAGAGAATTTCTCCCATGCTTCAGTGGTGTGGGGAACTAACTTACCGGAAACGGAGTGTTATGTTGCTTAGAGAGACAAACACAAAATGTACGTGTCTTGTTGCATGCAAGTTTCTCGCCAATGCCGAACCACGGGCTGCAATTTGGAAGAGTAACCACACAACGTCACATTCTGTTGCCATTATCATTCTTATGGTTGTTAACAAAATTGACGGCATGATCATTTGTCTTAATGAAATTGAAATTGAAGGAACACGGGAATGATTTTGGAAATTAAAAAACCAAAATTCGAATCGGGTCAAAATTCATATCTTTTTCACTTTTCTTTTTCTTTTTGACCTGCAAACATTCTGAGTTGATGTGATTTGAAAAGACAGAGCAACGGTACAACGCCTACAAGGCCCACCAATAAAGCAGCCCATTCAGCCTTCAACAACATACTATCCTGCACTTTCCATTTTATTTACCCAAAAATTTACATCTCTTAACTAAATTATATAACAAAACAACAGACTTGAACCTAAACTATCATAGGCGACGGCCTGTAACTCGTATGGGAGGAAGAAAACTCACACCCACGAATACTATGAGGACTTGAATCCAAGACCATTCGAAAGCACATTAAAGATCTAGGTCAATCCAACTAACACCTCATTAATTGGTGTAACTCACGTAGTTAACAATATTAATTTTTGCACCTAAAGTTTTGATTTCGATATCTCCCCCCTCTTCCTCCGCTTATTTAGTAAGAAAAAAAACAGAAAATATATCCAATTCCAAACCCACGTTTTTCTTGCTTTCTGGAACACAACTTTGTAAGCCAATTGATTCAGACATGAGGCTTGGTTTGTGAAACGCGTGCATTGTCAAACCAATCTGACAAAGAATTGACCCCCTTCTTCTCATTTTGTTTTTCCTTGGCAGCCTTATAGGACCATGTTGGAATCTGCCTACACCTTTCTGACTTGTCCACGGGCCTTTGGACATTATTATATGACCAAATTCGATTGCTTTCAGAACTCTACTTTTTTTGGGACAGCAACATGCCTGTCTCTTTGCAAAAATTCATAGTGCCATCCAGTTGGGGTTTGTGATCAGTAAAATAACAGAAAAATTATATGAAAAAACAAAACAAAAAAAAAGCATCGTTGTATTTTCTTAACAAATATTATATATACAACTAGCCAACTAGGTTAGCAGAGATTGAGAATATACATGCTTGTATTTGCATAACTTTATTGATCCATGTAGCTTTTCAAGATGGCCCCGAAAGAACAAGGTTGAGGCGATCACATGCCAATTGGATCAGCGTTTGAAAGCACATGTAGCACAACACAAGGGGCGCCATGGAGTCTTCAAAATTGAAAATGATGATTATTTCCAACTCTTTCTTCCCCCCCTCAACCTGCATCTATCACAGCATTTCACAATCAAAGAGTTTTGTGGATAGGGATGAAACCCACGAGTGACTTATATAAGATTTGCTAAATCGTTATTCATGGTCGTGTGGATGGTTGTGAATGATCGGATAATGTTGTGAGGTTCAATACGCGACATTCATTACTTTTTATTGTTGTGGCTTACGTTAGCGATTCTCAAGGAACATCAATGCTTTAACGTAGACGACAATCTAATTCCGGAAAAGGGATTAATAAACTCAAGCAAACTTTTTTTTTTTGGGTTATGAAAAAGGCAAGAGAATTTTCAATAAGTTAATATATTTGTTGGTCAAGAAAATTAATTTGTGGGCCATGCATGCTTAAAATGAGGTGGATGAAATCGTGCCTGTCTATGAGACATACATTCAATTAAGATTTTAAAAGAATTTAAAAGAGTTTAAAATGTTTGGTTTGCTTGCCATTGCATGTGATGATGACTAGGGAGGGGTGAAGGTTGAGTCTTGAGTGGAGCCTGGCGTGGCGTTCATAAATGAAAGTGCTATACAAATTGTTTTCTTCTTTTTTGCCTTTTTCTTTCAATCCTTTTTGCCTTTTATATTTTAATCATTTGTACTGTTGTACGTAATATATTATCCCTTTTTTTTTGTTGGTGTGACGTAATATCGCTATTTATGCTATTTATGCATTTCTATTCTACCTGTAATATTGTGTTTTTTTGTTTGTAATATAATATATATATAAAGCAAAAGTCAGAGAATGGTGAAACATTCAAAATACCAGAAAATGCCCTTAGTTAATGCAAATATTAAGAATTGAAATTATTAATTAAATGAGGATAATATGGTAAATTCACACTTTTTCATATTTAAAAAAATTAAATAAAAAAACAGATAATGGCCTATTTTTATGGAACACAACTATCCATTATCTTTTTTAATTCTAAAATAAATTTTAATTTTTAAAGAAAAGCCTCTCGCAGGCGCGGAAGCGTGTGCAAAAAGGCTAGTAATATTATAAAGAAAGCTTAAGTGGGGTATCGCACATGCTCAGATGTGATAAGCTCGCCTCTCTTTAGAATAAATACAAGGTGTGTCCAAGGATGCACATTTAACATCTTTTTTTTTTTTTTTCTGGGTCTGGTTCTCATCGACTTTTGATTTAACATCTTCCTTTTCTGTTTGGTTTTCATCGACTTTAAAATTCCTCTTTATTGTCTTGTCGCTTTTAAGAATACGTGTATTAAATTGTTAGAATTTGTTATCAAACAGCTGGAAAAAAACAATTGGACATGACGACAGTATCCTCAGTCTTCCCCTTTTATATACGAGACAATTTTGTTCATTATTTTTTTTTAATGCGTACGTGTAGATTCAAATTTAACATATTTCATCAACGAAAATGTATAAATTGAAGATTCTGAAAATTGCCATTTCTGAGTTAAATCTCTTAACATTGTATCCCGTATTTGTTTAACTTAACAAATGACCCTCTGCAACCTTTTAAATTCCACTAACTGAAAACATCGACAGCAAAATGTAAATGAAAGAGCCCTAGAATTTCATTTTCATGAGACTACATTGACAAGGAATAATGGATAAAAAAGCTCCATTGTATGTCCAAATGAATATGAAAACTTTAGTCGCATTCCTAGATTGTCATTCTTTACTTCAGACCAAAAAAAAGATTGTCATTCTTTACTTCAAAATACAATAATAAAGTTTAATGGCATGTTTACTAATCCGGAATTGAATTACGGGGAATTGAATTGAGGAGGAGTTGGATTGAGAAGAATTAGATTCCGAATTCCTAATGAAGTTGTTTACTAAACCATATGGATTGAGGGGAGTTCGATTCCGAATTCCTATTGAAGTTGTTTACTAAACCATATGGAATTGGGGTAAAAGTGGCACTAATTACTAAAATGTCCTCATTTTTTGGTTAAAGTAGATGGCATATTTGGAATTTTGAAAATTGTGTGAGGATATAATGGGTAGAAAAGATGAATTCCTAATGGGTGAATTCTCCAGGAATTAGAATACCACCTCATATTCAGGAATTGAATTCCTCCAAAATCAGAAATTCAATTCCTAATTTTGTGTGGGCCCCGTTTACTTTTCAATTCATTGATGTGAAGTAAACGCATGAATTCTCCATAGGCGGAATTCAATTCCTGATGAGAATTCCAATTCCCGATTAGTAAACATGCAATAAAAGTGTTTAGCCGAGACTGAGGAATCTGAATAGGAAAAAGAAACAGTTATCCACGTGTGGGAATGCACAATTAAGAAAGATTAGATTTCTCTCTCTCACTCGTCACTCTCTCCCGTTTCCATCTTCTTCTTCTCTATTTCCTTTTATATTTTATTTTTGTGATTGGAACTCCCTCGTCTTCGACTCCATTACTGAATCCAAACAAGAAAAAACCACCCTCTGACATATGTGTCGTGCAAACTCTTCGACACATCTCTTCTCTTCTCTTCTATATTAAGTCATCAACCATCACCACCCATTCTTACATTGCGAAGCGTGCAAACCAGAGAGAGAGAGAGAGAGCTTTTTTTCCCTTCCTCTCCTTATTCTCTTTCCATTTCTAGCAGCAACCCATTATCTCTTAGAGACTTTCACACATGAAGTTTCAAACTTTTCTCTCATTTTCTCTTCTGTCATTTGCTTTCTCGGGAAAAAAAATCTCTCCTTTTTGAATCCGCACAGAGTCACTCTTTTAAGCAAGCATTAGCAGACAAAAAAAAAACCTCAACATTTTCGTTTCACTTCCTTGGTCGTCTTTTCTCCCGCGGTTTCTCGGCGACCAAACAGAATATCAAGAGTCTAGTTTGTGTTGAGAAGAAAGGTGGTGACTTTCGGGATTAGATATGGCTGTGCTTGGAGCGAAATTGCAGGGTTTGAGATCCGTGTTAATGGTGGTGTTGAACTTTGCGTTAGCATTTGTATTTGTTTCAGCGGAGAGAGGCCTGAAGCTTGAAGCTTCGAGGTTCAATGGAACAGAGGGATCTGAATCCGATTACCTTCTCAGAGCTGTAACTTTCTTTTGGCAACCCGAGAGATCGGGTTATCAACATGTTTGGCCGGTAAATCCCATGAAGACCGTTTCTTTGAATTCTGTGTTTAATGTTTAAGTGTAATAAGATTATCCCTGACAATGTTCCTTCAGTTAATTTTAATATTTGGGTTTTAGCTTTTGGATCAAGTGCACATTATGTGGATAGAATCAGAAATATATGTTAATTGGTTGTTTTAGTATCTGTATGTTATTTACTGTAGAAAATTTACTGTAAGGGGATTGTAAAAAATGGATTTCGTGAATTTTGTTTTACAGGAAATGAAATTTGGGTGGCAAATTATTGTGGGTTCCATTGTCGGATTCTGTGGAGCAGCATTTGGGAGTGTAGGTGGTGTTGGTGGTGGTGGCATTTTTGTTCCTATGCTTAGCCTAATTATGGGGTTTGATCCGAAGTCAGCAACAGCTATATCGAAATGTAAGCGATGATGTTTTCATGTTTCAATAGGAAAGGAAAATATGTACTTTTCAGTTTTGACAGAGTGTAGGTTGAACCATTGTCCATGCTCTTTGAATTTAATCAAAGAATTTTGAAACCAGTTGACTGTTTGATAGAGAAAAGCTCTTGATCACTGTCACTTGATTTTACTTCCTCAGCTTGACACCTTGATTTCTTAGGCTGTGCTATAATTTCAGCAAATAAGTTTTAAATCCTTGTCAAGGTTGAGTATGAGTTTGAGAGAAGTTTTATAGAAGGCAGTTGACAAGGGTGCTTTGAGGAAAGCTTATTTCTCTCCAACTGCATAATACATTCACTTTTACGTAATGGTTCCACTGTTACATTGAATTACTGGCTGGAAGTTACATAGTCATGCATTCTTTTTGTTTTGTGTCAGGTATGATCATGGGTGCAGCTGCCTCAACTGTTTACTATAATCTTAAGCTAAGGCATCCCACACTAGAATTGCCCATTATTGACTATGATTTGGCGCTACTCATCCAACCAATGCTCATGCTGGGCATTAGTATAGGAGTGGCTTTCAACGTGATCTTTGCTGATTGGATGGTCACAGTTTTGCTTATTGTTCTTTTTATAGGTAATGATCGTTTTAAGTTCCACTTTCTTGGCTTTATGCTTGAATACTTCAACCACTTATTATTTTCGTTTTCAGGCACGTCAACAAAGGCATTCTTGAAGGGTGTTGAAACATGGAAAAAGGAAACCATTTTGAAGCGGGTAATGCTGTAGGTTTTTGACCGTTTCATAGAGAAATTAAAGTCTCTTTACTATATTGAGCCTGAAATCCTGATTACTTTTCACTGCTTTTAGAATAGATTTCATTTTTGTTGGAAATTTAAGATAATTCCAGGATCAGACATGCCATGTCACTTTAGTACTTTACTGATGAATTCCGAATTCTAAGTTCATTTCACTTTGTGTTTGGAATTTCTAACTTCATATCATCATGTGCACTGAAGCAATAAGGCTTTCATTTGAATGTGCTTGAAGCGCTCCTGAAATGCATATATTACACTGCTAACTTCATTACTAACCATCACTTTTCCTGAATTTTAGGAGGCCGCTAGGCGTTTGGAGTCGACTGGTGAGTTGATCTACTGTTGTTCTAATGTTGTAAAAAAATAGTGGAATTTCTTTCTTCTAGTTGAATTCTGCAATCGGGCCAATACATTTTCTTGTTTGGTCAGGTGCTGGTGGGAATGTGGAATACAAGCCTCTTCCAAGTGGCCCAGCCAATGACCAGCAAAAGGAAACCAAGGAGTTAGGGGTAAGTGTCTACGTAGAAGCTGTTATCATTGTGATGGAGTTTCAAAGCTAAATCTAGATGCACATTCTAACAGGTCTCTGTTATTGAGAATGTTTGCTGGAAGGAGCTTGGACTTCTGGTTTTTGTCTGGGTTGCATTTCTTGCACTGCAAATTGCCAAGGTTTTTACTTCTTTTTTACTTAGTTTGTCAGAAATTTTTTTATTGAAAATTTCCCTGATTATATGACATTGCAGAGCTAACTTGTAATAATCATATGCTCTTCTACAGAATCACACAACTACTTGTTCTCCAGTATATTGGGTAGTGAATTTGTTACAGGTACTACAGTGTAAACTGTATTTGTTTCTCTGCATGTTACATGTTAAGATTCAATTCATGAAAAATCAGGATGAGTTACTGTTTCCATGTCCTGCAGATCCCCGTTTCTGTCGGTGTATCTTTGTACGAGGCAGTTAGCCTGTACAAGGGACGAAGAGTAATAGCATCTAAGGCAGAGCAAGGGACAGTTTGGCGGGTGCACCAGCTGGTTATCTACTGTATCTTTGGTGTACTTGCAGGAATAGTAGGTGGCTTGCTTGGACTAGGTGGAGGGTTTATTATGGGTCCGCTATTTTTGGAGCTTGGAATCCCCCCTCAGGTGAGCTCATGATTGCCTTTGACATGAACACGATCATGGACAATGCTGTTCGAAATTATTGAACTATTGCAGAGTTGCCAATTTCTCCCTTTACATGGGTAATTAAAAAACTATAAACATCGATGATCGAACATTAAAAAAAATCTAAGTAAAAAACCATTGACGATTTCGTTTGTTCTAAAACTTCTTGATGATTTCCTTGCAGGTCTCCAGTGCCACAGCCACCTTTGCAATGATGTTCTCCTCATCTATGTCTGTTGTAGAATACTACCTTCTAAAACGTTTTCCAGTTCCCTATGGTAAATTTATATACCTACAAACACTTGTAGATAGATGGAGCAAGTAATTAATTTGCTGTGCTAGACAGACTCGACGGTTGGTCTAAATTTATGTATACTTATACACATTCCAATCTTTCCACAGCTCTATACTTTGTCGCCGTGGCCACTGTTGCGGCCCTCGTAGGACAGCATATAGTGAGAAGGCTGATTATATTATTTGGAAGGGCATCACTGATCATCTTCATTCTGGCTTTCACAATATTTGTCAGTGCAATCTCACTAGGTGAGTTTTTTTTCTCTTCACTGCCAATATATAAATTTCAAATTATGCTAAGACCCTGAATTCTGAGAGGTATTTGTTTCTTTTCAATATTTTATTTTTCAGGTGGAGTTGGCATATCAAACATGATTTGGAAGATTCACCAGAATGAATACATGGGTTTTGAAAACCTTTGCAAGTATGATGTATAGAATGTATCTTTTAGGGAAAGAAAAAAAAGAGGTTGTTAGGATCCTCATGCATGTACTTTTCTCCTAGGTCAAACTTCTTGTACCGTGCTCTAAGTTGTGGATCAGTAGTAAGATGAAAGCTTGTTTCTGTCAAATTTCTCAGCTTTGTTGTGTACGCTTGCCCAGTCGCTATCTCTTTTCAAAAGAATCTTTCGGTGCACTGCATTTGCTTCCAATAACACAACTTAGAAAATACACAACCTTTTTCAACAGTAATAGCATATGACTCATTCCCTGTCAGCAGCAGATCAGAGTGATAAGAATAAAGAATGCACTCCGAGACATTAATTAGTTTAATCATATATCCCAACTCAAGCAGATGATTAGGTCTTAAGTTCGAATCCCGCTATCCTATTTCCCGCCAAGAAAAACACGAAACATTGAAGTTTTATTTTCTTGTTGGTTACATACATATAATGTTTTGTTAACACAGCTCTTGAAAAGGAAAAATTAAGAAAGGTGTGTATTTGAATTATGATGGTGGTTTATTTGGAGTAATTATAGTGTAATACGGTCTCGTTTGTCCGGTGCAATATTTGGCATCAATTAGCGATGGCAAAGTCAGCCACTCAGCGCTCTACTTCTACGATTGCTTGCGTTTTATGACAAATCAAATTACTTAAATTCCAGTTTGATTATAAAAGATATATGTATAAAAACTTAATTTTCATACTTTTGAGCCACCAAATTAATGAAACGTTAAATTTTGTAGGCTACAAAAAGTCATAAAGAGAATATCGACGTTGGAATAATTACCTACAAACACTTGTAGATAGATGGAGCAAGTAATTAATTTGCTGTGCTAGACAGACTCGACGGTTGGTCTAAATTTATGTATACTTATACACATTCCAATCTTTCCACAGCTCTATACTTTGTCGCCGTGGCCACTGTTGCGGCCCTCGTAGGACAGCATATAGTGAGAAGGCTGATTATATTATTTGGAAGGGCATCACTGATCATCTTCATTCTGGCTTTCACAATATTTGTCAGTGCAATCTCACTAGGTGAGTTTTTTTTCTCTTCACTGCCAATATATAAATTTCAAATTATGCTAAGACCCTGAATTCTGAGAGGTATTTGTTTCTTTTTAATATTTTATTTTTCAGGTGGAGTTGGCATATCAAACATGATTTGGAAGATTCACCAGAATGAATACATGGGTTTTGAAAACCTTTGCAAGTATGATGTATAGAATGTATCTTTTAGGGAAAGAAAAAAAAGAGGTTGTTAGGATCCTCATGCATGTACTTTTCTCCTAGGTCAAACTTCTTGTACCGTGCTCTAAGTTGTGGATCAGTAGTAAGATGAAAGCTTGTTTCTGTCAAATTTCTCAGCTTTGTTGTGTACGCTTGCCCAGTCGCTATCTCTTTTCAAAAGAATCTTTCGGTGCACTGCATTTGCTTCCAATAACACAACTTAGAAAATACACAACCTTTTTCAACAGTAATAGCATATGACTCATTCCCTGTCAGCAACAGATCAGTAAAAGTCCATATTCACAATATAGTTTGGTAACAGAACGTAAGATGTTCACTCTAAACCTAGATTATTGATTATGTCATTGTAGTCCATATTCACAATGATGAGTAAAAGTCCACTTTGACACTAAGAGCGCTTCCGCCCCTATGGGCAAGGGCAATGCAAGAGCAAGGCAAGGGTTGTCACTATTCATGTGAATAGTGGCAGCGCTTGCAATTTTGTTTCCACCCCTATGGGCAAGGGCAATTACTATTCACTTTAATTTATTTTCTAATTTTTTATACTTAAACTTTAAAAATTAATTTTATTATCTAAACTTTATAGAAAAAAAAAATTCTGAATTTGTTTTTTAAATTACAACTCCAACTAATTAATTTTAGGGAGGAATTGGAAAAATACAACTCCAACCATGCTCCATATTTACCTCATAAAATAGGGAAACCTCTAAGAGCTCCTAAATCTGAGAGATAAGGGACTACTAGTGGCTTCCTATAATTTAATGTTGTTTTATTTTATAATTATTTTAAACCTTTAATTAATGCTAACTATTTTTTATATTATTTTTTAATAGAGATGGATCAATTAAAAAAGAGTTATGGCATTTATGACTCCATAAACTAAAGAGCATGATTATAGTTTAAATTTTATAGAGAGCTCCTAAAAATAGCTTTTATATGTTTTTAACTAAATTTTAATTAAAAATAGAGAACATGATTGTGGATGCTCTAAGAAGAGCATCTACAATGAGCTTCCTAAATTACCTCTTTAGACAAATTTTAGGGAGAACTTGGAAATTACAACTCCAACTATGCTCCCGAGTATGATTGGAGTTTAAATTTTATAAGGAACTCTTAAAATAACTTTTATATATATTTAGCTAAATTTTAATAAAAAATAAAGAGCGTGATTGTAGATAAGTCCTCACATGGCCATTCCTAATTTCTTCGCCAATTAGAGCAGTTCCAGTGAGCAGCCCGTGCCAGGGCAGGAGGGGGCCCAAGCCCCAAATGCGTCCTCCAGCTGGCTGGAGCTGCCCGGGCAGCTGCTGCATCCCAAGAAACCAGGCCAGCCCAAAGGCTTCCCGTGCCCTTACATGGGTTTGTTGACGTCAACAACGAAAAAAAATTTAAAAAAAATCTAAAACAAATCTAAAAAATACTAAAATTTCAGAATTTTTTTAAAATAAATACTTAGTCATATTCTTCACTTCCCACACCAAAACTCTATACAAATTCCTCTCCTTATATCTCATGTGAATAGTTGTTGCCATGACAATGGGTGAAAATACCACAAGCCTTTTGCAAGGACTGCCACTATTCACGTGAATAATAACAACCCTTGCCTTGCCCTAGGTCTCATATCATGGTCCTCATAGGTTCGACTTGATACGACTTGTCATCTCCAAGTCCAAAAAGGTTGCCAGTTGTCCAATACGACATGTCGTCAAATGCCCTTACGAATTAAAAATCTCAGACCAATCATAAATATTTTTGAAAACCCAGGCCCAACAGAAAATAGCAAAATCAAAACAAAAACAAAAACAAAAATAAAAATGAAAAAGTTTCCAGTGCCCAATATCCCAATTGGAAAGCTGGAAGGTGGAACTTGGAAGCCCTAGCTCCTCAAAGGTTCTCGTTTTCTGTGGCATCGAATTCCAAAGGGCCGAACGAACAAGATGGTCTTCTACTTCAAAGCTCGATCCGAGGTTGGCGATTACACCATTTTCATGGGGCTCGACAAGTTCGAGAACGAGGAGCTCATCAAATATGGCTTCCCCGAAGACATTTGGTATCTATCTCCCACCCTCCTCTTCTCTAATTTATCTGATTTCTGTTCTAATTAGAAAATTTTATCCGAATTTCCCTTTACAATTACATTTCTTGCAAAGTTTTGAAATTTGCTGGTCAAGAATCAAGAATTAGTAAATTTTGGGGAATAGATTAGGGAAGATTACAAATTGCGAACGATTGACAGACGCAGATTGTGTACTTTGAATGTTAAGAGCAAGCTTTCTGTGAACAGGACAAACAGAGTGTAATTGTGGTTGGTGTGAGACATTTGATTTATGTTCTCTTTCGCATTAGCTCTGGGATTGTGTGCTTTGTTAATTGTATTACTTCAAGCGTGGCTGCTTATTATGCGGTTGATGCGTTTATATAGAAAGAGCGATTGGAAGTTTTGTGATACCACCATGTTAGTGTACATATTGAATGTTCAAGAAATGCTTGTTTAGACGGTTTTTGGAGTAATTGGTTCTTTAATTCAGACCATGGTTACGCATTATTCCTGAGTTTGATAGTCTGAACTTGTTATTTTAGTAAGTAAACCAAAAGAAAAAAGGAGTTTGTTATTATTAAGAAAAGCATTCCATGCAAGCTTAAAACTTAATGGGATTTTTGGTGATCTAGGTTCCATGTGGATAAAATGTCTTCTGCCCATGTTTATGTTAGACTGCACAAAGGACAGACCATTGATGGTATAAGTGAAGGTTTACTGGAGGATTGCGCACAGCTTGTCAAAGCAAATTCCATCCAAGGTATTATCTTAATTAATTCATACATTTTAGAGTAATTTGGTTTCATTTTGTAATTCCATCCAAGCCTCTAAAAAAGGGTTTTGTTTTTCCTTCTTCTGATTAGGAAACTGCGTTGTTGTGGTGTTCTAATGACTTATTATCTTGTAGGCAACAAGGTGAACAATGTCGATGTTGTTTACACTCCCTGGTCCAATTTGAAGAAAACTGCCTCCATGGATGTTGGTCAAGTTGGTTTCTACAATTCAAAGATGGTGAGTTTCTTTATTTTGTATTCTATGTATATTACTATCTAGAATAGTATCATGCCATATAGTTTGTATTTTCATTGGGTTCAGCATCCTTGGAGATACTGATCATTGTCCAACTATGACACTTTATTTAGGTTCGAACTGTGAGAGTGGAGAAGCGGATTAATGAGGTAGTTAATAGATTGAACAGGACAAAAGTGGAAAGGAAGCCTGATTTAAAAGGTAAATTTTCTGTCACAGCTTCAAGTGAGTTTGTCTAGATCAAATTTGCTCTAAAGATCCTATCTTGAAGAATAGTACTCATATTGCTCGTGCATAAGTGATATTGGTTTCATATGTTACCCTTATCTAGTTCTGCCATATTGGAGCTATGATTAACTTGCAAGTGAAATGTAACTGCAGCTGAGCGAGAAGCGGTCAATGCAGCAGAAAGAGCTGAGAGAAAGCAGCTGCTGAGGGACAAGGTAAGTTCCTCTTCCTCCCTTGGCCAATATGAGGTTGGTAGTGTTCTGAGATTATTTGCGTGGATTATTCACCTTACTAAAGCCGAATTTGGGTCGCATTTTTGCTTTTGGTTTTTTATGTTAAGCTTTACCCAAAAACTTTTGACTTGTACTAGTTCTAGGTTTTAGATTCTTCAGTGCTTAATATAATTAATAATAGAATAGTTTCAAATATATATAATTATTAATTAGTAATAGAACTACCAACATGTTTTTGATAAAATGAATTGCAATCAGGCTGTGTATCTGGGTTGTTTTAACGTAATATTTTATATTCTTGTGTTGAACAAAACAATTTAATTTCTTATGAAACTGTTTTGCAGAAACGACGTGAGGAGATGGAAAGGCTTGAGAAGGAGAGACAAGCAGAGCTAAGGAGCTACAAAGGTTTGATGGTTTCTGAAAATATGACATCAAACAAACAAATTGCATCGGCAAACAAGTCATTGCAGGAACTGGAAGAGGACTTCATGTAAGGATATCATTGTCTATGAGTTGGGTGAGATGCTGCTACCTGCCGCCCGTTAAGAATGCAGTTTATCATTCAGTTTGTGAGTTAGTCCAAAAAGTTACTTCCCTTCATGAATATAATATGTCATAAACCTTGTAATTTGTTGCTGTCGATAAGAAAAAGAGAAAATGAAAAATATGGAGGGAGAAAAAGAAAAGGGTTTTATGGGTGAAGTCTGGTTGGGGGAAGTCTCTTTCTTGTCACTGCATGTTGTATGTGGTTCATAATGATGATACCACACAAATCAAACTTCATTCAGGATGATGGGAGATAAACTTGTTATTTTGCTGTCAAATTTCTTGCAAAAGTATTTTACTACATTTTAAAACCCTTATTTATATTTAGCTATTTGTGAATGATTTCTAAATCGTCTATGAGTGTGTATTTGAAAAAAAAAGAAGAGAAAACAAGGAGGGAACCTGGTGAACCATTTGATTTGTGCAATATTAGAAATTAATATTGCAAGATTGAGGGAGCAAAAGGAATGATAGTGGACATTAATATTCTTATGCTTAGGTTTGAATCTCTGTAAGTTATACATACAAATATATTTATGAGAGTGTCTTCCAATCTTATTGTGATGTGGTAATTGCCATATCAAACGGTTATTAATGTTGCAATAATTATGTAATTAGTAGTGGATTAGGACAGAGTCTAATTTAACCTTAGTAGTATATATGCCTTGTTGATGAATGAAAGAAATATCAAGTATTATTCCCAAAAACCTCTGAATTTCAACTCTTAATTGTTTGCCCATTTCTGATGGGAATTTTGTGTACATTTGTCTCCATACCTCTATCCTAAATTGAATACAAATTGATTCAAGGAGTAAGAAGTGATTTATTTATATTCAAATTGGTAGATCTCTCTGAATTGAGTTGGGGGTGTGTGGATAATTCAATTCAATACAATGGCCATGAGGTATAAAGCTTAGTTGAGACCTAACCAAGTAGCCAACTACATAATCTTACATTGATTTGAAAGCTAACTAATCAAGTGATTGTCTTTTCGTCCCTAAACCCTAAACCCTCACAAGTACCACAATCTGT